ATGTAACTTCTCTCCCTGCCCTCTCCAAGGAAAGTATATAAGCTCTGCTTAAGCTGTTCTCAGGGCTCTATCTCTCTTTGTTATAGACAGCTCTGGGCCCTAGCATGCTGGTCTCCAAATAAACCCTCCCTTCTGCTGTTGCATAAGACAGTCTCTTGTGGTCTCTTCCTCCGACGTTTCGCCGGACCCTTACACTACTAAGCTGCTATGGTCTTTTCTTAAGAGCAATATCCACCATGAGGAGGATGAGCAGCCACAGGCACTCTCATGCATTGCTGGAGGAGTGCATACAATTCACTATAAAAAAGCTGGCCTTGTTTTCCCTCCCAGTGTTACACACAGTGTCACCACATGATCCTAAAAATAAAAACAACTGCCTTGAAAACACATATCTTGATAATAGCATGCAATTACATACAGTAGTTCTATTCACAATGGCTAAAGAACTTAAGGAATCATAATGTACTTCAGTGGAGGAAAGAATAGCAGAGGTCCCCTAGGCCTCTGCTCTAGTCTACGCAAGTTCTACTATCCCCATTCCCCTTTTCCCCCTTGTGGACCAACTGGAGATTGGTCTACTGTCCATGCTGAACTCTCAGAATAGATTTGTGCCCACCTGTCCCTCCACATTCTTGTGACCCCAGCAACAAGATAACCAGGGTCTCTGGAGATAATTGGTCAATCCCACTTGGCAGGGAAAGAGAAGGTGATGAAAGTGGGTCACAGACCCTCTGCAGAGCAGGAGGGGGACCAAGTTGGCCATTTACACATTCAAGGCACTGATCCCAAGAAGGACTCAATAGAATGTTGAGCCAAGTCTAGGATGGCACCTCAGATGACTAGGACTCCACAGGGACTGAGGGTGGTTGAGTGTGTACATATCACCCGCTAGGTGACTCAGAGGACAAGAATGTGCCTCACTCTCCACCTTCAAAGAATACCAGGTATGTCTGTCAGACCCAGGATGCTTTCATTTAACTCATCTAGGCAAATATACTTAAGTGAAGGTGCCCTCAGATTGATCTGTTGTGCTTTTACCACAATGCTAGGGATCATTCGACTCTAGAGCAATAATCTGAGTCATTGGCTGCACTAATTTATATGTACACAAAGGTGCATGAGAGTTCATTTTTCTCCATATCACACTGCTACTTTTTCAAATTATTCATTCTAATGGGGATGAGATGATGACTAATTATATTTTTGATTGGCATTTCCCTGAAGGCTAATTTTATAGAGCATTTTTCTATGTTTACTGAAACTTTGCATTTCTTCTTTTGAGACCTGTCTACTTAGATGTTTTACCCCCTTTTGAATTGTATTATTTATGGTGTAAAGATTTTTAAGTTCTTGACATAACTTGTGTATTAGTCTTGCATAGAATGACTAGATTTGCTCCAGTTTTATACCCTTTCTTTCCCATCTGGGCTTTTTCTTTTGTTGTGCATCAGCTTTTTGGCTAATGTAATTTTTTTTTATTGTGTGAGTGATTTTGTAATTATGTCC